GATGCAAAAAAAATTGTAAACACATTCGAGATATCTTCCACAATAATTTTTCCTCAATAGTATGCCTTTCAAAACTGACTCGAATCCTACTCCTCATGTGTAAGAACCTTGACCGTTTGCCTTTCTACTTTGCAGTTACTGCGGCGGTCCGGCACGCCCGAGAGGGAGAGAGAATCAATGAGAACGTCGAAGAGTGCACCTTGAGGTGGGCATGAGCCGAGTTATGAACTGAATTATTTTGGTGTCACAGTTACCCCACCTTGGATACCAGGAAAGTAGCCGAAGGCCATAGGACCAACAGATGGAAAAAAAACATGCTCATCTATTCCGACTTCCCGTTTGGGGGAAAAGATGGCTATGCTACCAGATGATAAGCAACTCCTTTTGAAATCCACAAATTCTTCGACCCTCGGATGCATCTCGTCTTTTTTGTCACCTGTTGGGAGGCAGCCTTATTGATGCCTGTACAGCCCTTTTAAGGATCACAGCGAATCAACCTCGGCGTAAAATATAGGCAATTTCTTCATAGAGCGGATGACAGACTAGCCACTGGTCTGATCATAATCCTCACAAAAACGAACCACAAATAAGGCATTCATAATTGTTCATCAGACAATATGACTTAGAGCTAACGTTCCAACAAACCCAAAGTAAAGAAAAACCCCTCTTCACGAATGTATAAACTATTCCACTTTGCTGGGAGAGCTTTTCGTTAAATGAGAATGAATCAGCTGTACATGGTAATGGAGAGGAATACAGTGGGTCATCTGACAGACAGATTAATGTTCTTCAGACCCGACCCGAAACAGATTGCCACGAGAGGAACAGGACACTCAGCGGATGATTCTTCACCCTCTTCCCTAGCGTTCATTGGATTAACTTTCTCCTTCTGCAATCCTATTCCTGCACTCTCATTTGCCCCTCCTTCCTCTTTCTTCTCGTTCAATTTCACCCTGTCGATGTAGGTGAGATCAAACGTCACCTAAGGGAAAAGCAATTGACCTTAAACGAGAAACTTCACTAGCAGTTTCATCCAGCTATCACAAAATTTAACAATTTAATAAAAAGGAACGACCGATTATTTAAAAGCGAATCTCAGCAATATAACTTGCCTTTCAACAGAAATTAAAGGTATAGATCTAGGGCTGATCCCACTAGTTTCTAATTACAAACGCTTCAAAAGTATGGTTTAACAACAGTCGGATTTTGGCTACCATTGAAATCAGCATAACCGTCTAAAATATGGAGAAATAACATCAAGGGAAGATGGAAGATAAGCCTCGCCCTCCCAGTCTTTGAGTGCTAAATTCACGAAAGATGTCTAGGCTTGGCTGGTGGGAATAAAACCACTCAATGCTCCACCAGCCTTAGCTACTTCTTACAAAGTTTCCTTCCACGAGGCCGCGCTGCAATGACCCAGTTAACCAAAGCCTCAGTTAGTTTTCGCGGCAAATAATTCTCAGCTAATAAGTGCGCGCACGGTCCGACACCAGCATACAAACACAGAAAAAGCAGTCTTCCGAAAATGAAATGATGTACAGCTTCAAGGTTTGAGACGGCGGTTAGTAGCTTGACGGTGAATCAATAATGCCATCGTTACACACCAGAAATGCCTTAGAAAGGTGTAGCTATCCCATTACAGCAAACTCATCATTGCGTTCATCATTCTAACGAGTAATATTAATAGATGCAATATTTTTAGACTTGAGCTAATTACAGTCCAATTTCAAGCCTATAACCAATTTACGGGCAGTAAGTACATATTTGCCACTGCTTCCCCGAATAGGAGGCCGCTGTGATTTAGCGACTGAGACTACCCTAGTTCATAAGGCAAATATGAATCGGGTACATCGGGACTCGCCACTAGCATACGATGCATAGGTTCAAAATAAACAACATACCGTACGACACATCCACTCTCTATAAGACTTGCACAGACCCAATTGCATGCGAGTGACCGCAGCTAAGTGCACCGAAAACTCCATAAATTTTTCGATCTCTTGATTTACAAATGCGTATCTATTTGACATTCAAGGCTCAAAAGTGGATGAGGCGCTCATTCCTGTGTACCATAGCCAGTATTGATGATTCTAGATAAGAGCATCCAGTCCGGGAAACATAGCAAGCAACTCATCGAACGCAGCCGAAACTGTAACATTTAAGTTTATTCTGCTTTACCAAAAGACCGATTTTAAAAGCTTAAAAACTTAATCTCATTTCCACTTCACAAAATCACCAATAAAAAGAAATGATTCTCTAGATTGAGCAGCCTAATAACTTAAACTTTCTTAAATAGATGAAGCAGCTAACTTAAGTTAGCCTGCCTAAAGAAATTATGCATTTTAATGATGATCATATGTAGTTATCTATCCTCATGCCTTATAAAAAGGATCAAAATGGGAAGGCAAAAGATATGAGACCAAATCAAGCGTATAAAAGCGCACAAAACATAGCCTTGGACAATCTGAGCACTCAATTCCTCCGCACACTTTTGCGGAAACTACGTATATGAAATGCGGCGACCACCTCCAGAACACAAATATGAGCTGCCATATATAGGTCTTTCCATGAAATTTCCCAACCGATGTATAGCATTGGAACGATGAAAGGAACTATCAGATGCAAATTTACTTTCGGTAATTAATTAAAGTCATTGGGATTCTTGAAGCATGCACCTCCTACTTCCCATGCAAGACAATAAAAAAATCCAAAATGGGGTAAGCATAGGCGGCGATACTTACCTCCATAATTTTATGCAAGAGGCGAAGGGTCTGGATAGTGTGGGGCGTGGGTTCGGAGATGAGCAGTTGGCTAGCGTTTCGACCCCCTTCAAGGGCCATCAGTGACAGTGCCAGTGACTGCAATGACTCATCCACACAACCACCAAGGTATACCTAAAGACAAGATGGATGACTTGTTGTAAAAAGACACGACACCGCCGATAACAGACATCAATTAGGACAAAAGTGTTCAACACAAGGAAAACTACCAGCCGCAAAAAAGGTAAACTGAAATTCGCTTCGGCATTTAACAAATCCTATTTGGGGCCAACCAAACCTTACATACTGCGTCTAAGTGTACTGTCGATCACAGTCCACATAAAGAGCCTAGTGGATATAGAAGTAGAACAGAAACTACAAGTTAAAAGCACTACCATGAAATAAACCACCAATATCACGATATACACAAAGTGTCGTACCAAACTGCAGTTTTTACAATAATTTGAGCCAGAAAAGTAGAGGAAATAATAGTAGAGAAGTATGTAGCTTGGATGCGACGCAAATTACTTGATTTAACAACCGAGATGCAGCTTCAAAACCGAGTTCCGAAGGAATGGTAGGGACAACGGAGACTGCAGTATCGCTCTCAGCAGCACTGCATACCTCGGCAGTGTAAAAGACGCCCTCCTTTGTCTCTGCCCACAGAATCATACCAAAGCCCGAACTTTCACCTCCAACTCCTCTCTTTAAACAAAAAACTGTACTTGAAATTGCTCAGTAGAGATAACGGCTACCCTTCAGACCCGACTCATTTACAGGAGCAACCGAAACTCGAAATTGACCAGACTTACTCTTGCATTACCCAACTTCGCGAACTCAAAACAGGAAGATAGCTCTAGCCAGTGAAACATTATTATTAGTCAAATATTCGGAGGGGAACACAACAAATGCCACGAAATAGCGCAAATATTACTAAGATCTCAAACAGTTAGAAAATTGCGCGGTACTCGATAACAGCAATATTCTATGTACGTGCCTGAAGTTATTTGCAACCCAATTGCGTTAAGATTCATGAATCATACAAAGTAAAGAGTGAATGACAAGCTTTAGTTGCTTAAAGCGTTAGCTCCATGGAAACCGGCAAACGTTTAAATAAGCACAAACCTTCCGGTGGTCAATATTTATGTATACGTCACTGAGAAACGAATTAAGAAGCTTCTTGGCACCGTACATTAACTGCGAAGCAATTCCTGGACTAACAAGACACGCCCATGCAACACCGCGGACCCTAGAAAGGTGGTGTAAGTCAAGGTCAATAAGACCATCTTGCCTATAAACTTTTCCAGGAATAATGAGCTGAATGGGAGAGAGAAAAGTGGCGGGCTTGGAGGTGAATATGATTCGTCCGCCACCCTTTGGTGCCACACCTCTTTTCTTTATAACGATTTTCAGGCTAGATGCAGAGGCAGGAGGAAGGAACTTCTTTAGAAAAGGCAACCAACTCTGCGTAACGACGTCAACTGATGGATCGATGAGATTGTTAGTTATGCCATTTAGAGTTAGAATCATTGAGACCTTTGTAAAGGAAGAAAGCAGGACAATAGGTTCTAAGTAGTACCCTAAACCACGTTCCGTAGAACAAGTGAACTCCACTTCCCCACCAATGAGAGTTCCAGGAGAAAAGAAAACATCGCAACCTTTTGCGAATAAAGAAATGACATTACTTACCAGTATCGTTTAATTTCACGATCACACCGTTACTTATTTCACTAATAAGTTTCAGAAGGTCCAACTCGGATGGTCTGATACCCGGCTCTTTGCTCTTATGTCGAATGTTCTTGATATGGATAGGTTGACTTGAAAGTATAGACAAAACTATTTTCTGCCTAAAACCAACCGACCCATCCTCGAACTCCAGCGCCGTCATGACTAGACCGGTATTTAACGGCTCAACACCAAAGAATCATCGGCCAAGGCTACGATTAAGAATAGGCTCGGGAAAAATGCCAAATATGTGGATTAAAACTACAAATTATCTTCCTAGTTCCGCTTTTTAATTAATAAAAATTTAGCATTTTCAAAAGTATTATTGCCAAAAAATTGCTTTATAGTACAGTGGCGATATAGCGGGTTTTAGACAGATTCTTGGTTCTAGACTCGCTAACTCAACTAAAACATGTAAGTATCTGGGCTCTTTTAGCAAGAAGGCGATTGTAGAGGGTGCAATTTTTTGTTTATGTTACTACCTGACGTTTAGCGGTGACTTCAGGGATTGTCAGGGTCTTGTGCGCGTATGTTGAGCCTCGGGTCACGCTCGAGTCAATTTGCTATGTCGTCATCGGAATACATGTATCCAGCTGCACCTACTGGGTTCTTACTACCGGCTCGGAGGTCTCGGGACATTACAAAGACCGTAAATACAATATATACTAACGTGTTTAAGTTGATTCTGTGGAGTAGAGATGGTTATG